GCTCAGACTCCTCGACCCACAGAGGCTGGTTAACCCCTTCAGCTCCCGAGTGGGGGGAGCTGCAAGAGGCTGATTAAGATAAAAACAACAACAAAAACAACAACGCCATTTGTCCGTTGTTGCATGGCTAAGGCTACATCGGCCTGTTTACAATTCCAGATATGCAAACAAAATCAACTTTGACCTTTGAGCCCTGCCAAATGTGAACTGTACGCTGTGATAGGTGGACGAGGCTTTGTGGCTTTCATTACTGTGGGGGTGGTGCAGGCACTGGAGCTGGCACGTAAACCACATTGACCTTTCTTATTCATTTAGACCTTTAGTCAAGGCCTTCAGCCATCATCTTTAAAGTTATAGTCTCTGATCCCCCCTGCTTGACTTTAAGTGTCAGGGCATGGCTGTGTGGCTTTTATCCCGCCTTCTTCTCTGACTAAATCCTGATTGCCTCCTCCACAGCCTGAGGTTGGGCTAGAGATGCATCTCATATACAGCACAGTAATCCATATAGCATTCACACACACACACACACACACAACCAAAATACTGCAGATAAATCCAAGGGATCACCTCCTTTAGCAAAATGTATCTGCAGAAAGACAGTTATCTGAAAAGGCAAAATGGCAGCGAGTATATTCCATGATTACTGTGCCTCACAGAGACTCGGCAGCCCTCCATATATAGGAGACATAGTTATGGAAATAAAACAGTGCTGCTGGCTGGCACTAAAGGGCCTTCTATGTATTTAAGCGAGTGCTGCATTAAGGAGGATCATCTTAAAACTTGAGGCGTGAAGCAGAGAGTACTTGAGCTATCTTCAGACTGAGGAGCACAGGGCACCGCACATTCTAATTCCAGTCTCGATTCGCCGATGCAGCCGAGGTGTGTGTGGGCAAGGCGTGCTGCTCTTTCCCATGGAAATCAATAGAGTCTTGTAATTAAACAAAAGGGGGTTGGCCAAGGGGGGAAAAAACAACAATCCCCTTTGGAAAGTAGGTTATGTAGAAAATTGCAGAGCTGTCCAAATTGTGGCTTTGCCAAGAACTAAATATGCAATTTCAGAGTATGTGGGAGCAGAGAGAGAGAGAGAGGAGCAGTGTCAAACATTAGCACACTTCTCTGTGCAGGGACTTTAATTTTTTATGAGTCTGATTGATCGGCTGCTGAGGCTTGGAGCACTGACTCGTTAAAATAATGATTGTTTGTAAAGATGAAGAAACAAGGATACTGCAAATATAAGAAGAATGATTAGTGATTAGATCTGTTCAAAGGGCTGTTTAATCATGAGCGAGATTAGGTTTTGTGGGTCAGACAGAGGCGTTTTGTATACAAAGCATGATTAGGTTTTGTGGGTCAGACAGAGGCATTTTGTATACAAATCACATGTCACAGGATTAGATTCATCAAACAACATTTTTGGCAAATTACAGAACAAACCCAGAGAGAACTCATCTTCAGATAAGAGGTTTGGGTGTGATTACTGTAACGTTTTGCTGAACGGAGGATGTACACATGTTCTCAGAGCCAAACAATTAAAGATCAATAATTGTGAAGGGATTGCAAGAGTGCACAATCATTACCTATGAACCCTATTGTGCTGTTGGGCTTAATCAGCTGAGCTGCTGACAGAGGGTGAAAAGCGGTGATCAACCGGGCAGGCTCGTGCACACGTCCTGCTCACAAACCCCCGCAGTGAGCAGACCACTTGCAGATACACGCACTCGAGTCTATGCTCATCTCATATTACTGTGTTCACTTGGATCTCTTTGTGTGCTCCGTGTATCAGATGGGCCCTTGGTCCCTGTGGAGGGACAACACTGTAACATGGCACTGTACAGTGTGCTGTCGTGTCTTCAGTCCACATCCCCAAAGAATATTAAATGTCAAGCAGCAGATGACAGTGTGCTTTAAAAAAATCTTTACCCCATGAAATCTGTACAGATACTGTACTACTGGGCGTGCAGCTAATGATTTTGCGACTACTGATTAACTTTTTAATTATTTGCAAAATAATTAAAGTTTATCAAATGTCAGAAAACAAGTCAAATTAAATAAAAACAGAAGTTCTTCGAGCCCTTTTCAAATCGCTGATTTTGTCTAATCATTAGTCCAAAACCCACAAATATACTGAATTAACAGCGACATAAAACAGGACAACAAATCCTCACATCTTGAGAAGTTAATGTTTAGTATTTTAGCTTGATTATGTGATTTTTATTGAATGATTGTCAAAATTATTGTCAATTAACTTTCTGTTCATTTACCTAAATGATTACGCATTAAAGACTACACGCACCTCCAGTCAGGGAATAACCTATTTTTCTCCAGATATAAGGACTCTGACACCTACAAGGTGTTGCCTCTGAGCAGAACACCATCTGCATTTAGTCTCACAGTAACAGCCTCAGTGGCGACGTTGATAAAAGCTGTCTGGCAAAAGCTCAAGTCTAATTTACATCAACTACCTTGCCAAATCAACTCAGCCGCACACTGAACAAATATAAATCCCTGCTCAAATTAATAAATCGTTCAAGAGTGGCATATCTGCGCAAATTATTTTGTGGGCTCAAATGCGATTAAACTGCCAAACGCTGCTCACGCTGATCTTCATGGTTCATTTAAGAGGAGGGCAAATGTCTGTAGCATTTTTATTGTAGCTACTGTACAAATCAATAGGAGCTGCTGGGGAGTAAAGTAAACAAAGGAACAGCAAATATGGACCTTTCTTGCATAAACTGTCCTCAATGTCCTGCAAAGTTCTTATAACCCAGGCTGCTGAGACAATGGACAAACCATTGGTGCATTCACAGGAGTGTGAAGAAGGGGAACATCAGTCTGATGCTTTTTGCTTTTACTCATGTCTCAACCTGAGCTGCATACCGATTGCTGGAGAGGAGAATTTTTTAGGAAGACATGGACAAGGAAGGTGTTTGGGGAAAACACGAGGAGAGAGTGTGTGTCTGTTGTTTGTTATGATTTCTGTCTGAGTGTATATGTACAGATGTGTGTGAGAGGCAGATAGAGAGCAAAGCCAGATCTTACCCTCCAGTCGCAGTGAGGCCATTCTTTGAAACTCAGGCTCTTGGAGCCAGCGGGACATCCTCTTAAAGGTCTCGCGCCCTGACTTGAGCTTGCCCCAGGGCTTGGGGTTCCTGAGGAGGTCAGACAGCGTGCCCTGTGACCTACACAGAACCCTCTCAGCGAAGATGGCCTGGGGGATGCTGTACCTCTTCAGTTCAGTGATGATCCTCTGGGCCACATCCCTGGTGTTGATCTCTTCCCCGGCGTTGCCTCCACTGCCCTGTGAGCCTGGCAGCATACCCTCGCCGGGTGAGGATGAGGCAGACGATGAGGAGTGCAGGTGTTCACCTATCTTGGAGGCCTGCTGGCCAGGGTGATGGTGGGGCTGATAGTGCTGGCTGTAGATGTGAGGGTGGTGGCCCGTGGTGTGCTGGTGAGCCTCCATTTTATTCAACTGATGCCCCACTGACACATCGCCGCCTCCTAGGACTGGTGGTGACATCTCACGGCCAAAATCCGATGTCCTGCAGAAGAGGCTCCCCCCATGGATGTCGTAGCTGCTGTGAAGCATCTGGCCACCATTGCCACTGGAACTGTTGCCAAGGCTGCCATAGCCATGCATGGAGGAAGTCAGGCCTGAACCTGTGGAAGGGGGTGACAGGCTTTGGGACATGGCCAGGTCTTTGCTGTAGGGGTTGTAGAAGTTAGTGCCAAGGCCTCTGTCCTCACGCATGAGGGTGAAGCTGCCAATGACGTTGCTGACAGGCAGGCAAGGATGGTGGTGATGGTGGTGGTGGAACTTATCATCAAAGGGTTGCAGAGGAGTCAGGGTGGTGTAGGTGCTGCCGGAGCTGGACGGGGAGTCGCCGCTGTACCCCAGTGCTGACATGGAATGGTCAAAGCCCGGTGGACGGGGCTCTGGCTCCAGAGACACAGTGGGGCCCCCAAGGGAAGGCCTGGGGAAAGCAGCTGAAAGGTCCCGTGAGTGCAGCATGGCCCTGCCATCCTGGCTGTGCACCAGATCAGGGTGGCTGTGGAGGGACATCTCCCCTAGACTCCCATCCATCTTCTCCTTCAACCAATAAAACTGTATTTTTTCTCTCTGGTTTGTTGCTCTTCTCTTGTTATTGTTGTTCAGCAGCCAGGCTAACAGTCTGGAAGGTCTCTTGTTACACCAGACTATAGATTTATTGATTTGTGAATTAATTGATTTCCGGGAGTATGGGGTGTCTAATTAATTATCTGATAACCTTAAGTACTGTCTTCAAACTCGCTCAAGCTCCCTGAAAACGAGTCTGACACAGGACCAGGAGCTTTAACTGTGATTTTATTTTCACTTGTACATCACCACTTAGCTCTCCTCTCTCCGTGGTACTCAGCTGTGCTCCTCGGCGGAAGCTTCGCTTTTGTGCCTGCGTGAGACAAGACAGGCGCTGTTACTCCGCTGAATTTAAACTTTAATCGGTACAGACAAGGAAAACAGCCGAACAACGTTTGTTTGGTCCACCTTAAACACTAATTTACATCCATGCTCCCCAAACAATGGAGACATTTGTACAAATTTTCCC